ATTTAACTCATGAGAGCCTGATCCTGTTATCAACAACTACTGAATAGCCCAAATTCATTGGTATTTTTTGTCTAGTAATGTCACAAAATTTAAATCACCTGATAATAAAACTCGATGTAAAGTTTTGAACCGATAATTGGATGATCAACCCGACAAAGGGGTTAAATGAAAACCGTTCAACATATTTATTTACCATTTAACTAGAGAACTCTAGACGCACCACCAATCCCATGAATACCCCGTCAAAATTACTAAGAAATAGGAGTAATCATGAATAAAATAAAAATGCAAAATCCAGTCCACTGAAAGTAAGCCTTCTCCGCTTGACCTCGACTCACCTCACTTATTTTAAAAATAGACCCCCAGAACGGACCAATCATAAAGATATAATTTAATCATCAGTCCAATAACAACTCGCCACGTTGCACCCGGCACCAAATTGACGTGTTAACTTGTCACTGCCGCGTGAGACTTCTCTCCCTCTCCCTCTCCCTCCTCCGAAGGGAAAAAAAAAAAAAAAAACTCCTACTTTGACTTTAAAACTAGCCCTATATCATCTCGTCGAACAAATATCCTTGAGTTGATAATTAGCCGGTGTGATAGGACCTAACTTACGAGCCGAAGAGCAGCAAAAATGGCGGAGGAGAAATACAATCGGAAGAATCCGGCGGTGAAGAGGATTTTGCAGGAGCTTAAAGAGATGCAAGCTAATCCTTCCGATGATTTCATGAGCCTGCCCCTTGAGGTATTTCCTTCTTTGTTTATTAATTTTAAAGCTTTTTGAACTTCATCGGATAAATTTGTCCTTGAAGAGGTTTTTGTATGTACCAGTTCCAGATTACTTATGATTGTTTAATTGAATCCGGATTCGGATTCGGGAGATCTATCCTTCGTAATTTGATAGCATATCTTATGAAGCATGGCTATGGATTTGGCTTTTTTTTTTTTTTTGAGAATTTTTAACTGAGCTCCAAGCTTGCCTTTAATTTTTCCTGGTTTTTGAAATTTTTTTTGTTGGGGCTTTTTTTTGGGCTTATGTAGGTCTTCTTGTGTAATTTTGTACGTTAAGATTGGAGCTGGATTCTGATGAGGAGCTTAAATGTTGGATTTTGATTAGTAGATCGCAATAGATAGGATATGTAGTAGATTCGGTTATTGATCTTGAGATGATTTGAGGTTAAATCGGCATGATGCAGATGTTTGGTGAAATTGTTTTGAGTAGTCAGAACATGGGTTTTGGAGCTGTTAGTTCAAACTTTTAGCTTGTTCAGACATGATCTCTTTGATTGTGGTTATTAAGCTCGTCCCCCGGGGGAGGGGGGGGGGGAGGAAAGGTCTCCTGAATTTGCATTTGTGGCCGCAAGCTAGGATCTTTTTAGTTGCTACCATACTCAATACTAAAATGACATATTTTCACTTTTCTAGATTTGATAATTTTGGGGGTGTATCACACGGCTTGAGTATCAAATGTCCACATATTCTTTTCTGGTTATTGCAGTTTTTCTGGTATTTGAGGGCTATGTTGTCTGTGCATTTCTTTGGAAGTATAATGCCATGTGTGAAAATTCCACTGGACTAAATTTACTTGTAAAATGGTGATTGCTATTGATTTTTGAAATATTGCAACCTGATAAGGTCGTATTGTATGATCAGGAGAACATTTTTGAGTGGCAATTTGCTATTAGGGGTCCATGTGATTCAGAGTTTGAGGGAGGAATCTATCATGGACGTATCCAATTGCCTGCTGAATATCCTTTCAAGCCACCTTCATTTATGCTGTTAACAGTAAGGCTGTTATCTTTCACGATTCTCTTTCTTTATGTTAATTGATTGCTCTTATTTCCTCTGTCCATGTGGATTTAAGTATGAGACCGCGCTATGTCTGGATTGAGTTACAGTGGATCCTCATCCTCTTAGTTGATATATGGAAGACTTTAGACTTATGCTCAATGGATTCTAAAGGTGTCATAAATGGTTCTTATTGAAATTCAGCTTTATTTAAACTAAGAGAGGTACCATGGGCCTGTACCCTTGTGTTATCTAGAAAAAATATTAATATATTTCAAATCCATGTCACTCAAAATGTTCGCCCATGTCCAAATTGTCTGCCCGTGTGCAACCATATTGATTTTCAGAAATCCTCTAAGGATCACATACATTTAGCTTAAAGCATGAAGACTATTTTTATTACACTTACCTTGTATATCTTGTTCATTCGATTTGAATATCTCGTAATCTAGGCTATCTCTCTTATTTCCAGCCCAATGGACGTTTTGAAGTCCAAACAAAGATTTGCTTGAGCATTTCGAATCACCACCCTGAGCATTGGCAGCCATCGTGGAGTGGTAAACTTAATTTTCCCAGTTCATTCAAGTTGAAAAAATTTACTGTTATTTGTCATGTCTGCTATAAATGAAACTTCACCATTAATAAAACAATGTGTAGCTTCATATACTTAACACGGTATTGATGGCATTAGTTTTCAACTAATAAGATCTTTCTAATGACTGTTTGCCACCTGAGAGAGATTGGAATATCTATACTTTACAAGAGGGGTGGAAGAGTGTCACTGTTTCTAATGACTGTTCAGACTTGTTTATGAGGGTCTGTCTAGCTGGCAGTCATCTGCCCAATGGACTTAAAGAGATTAGTTCAGGAGAGGGATCTAGTCTGATACACTTTCATTAAGTGCTATAAACAAGGAAATAACATTTCAGTACCATCCTACCACTCTTTATGGGCTTAAGCAGCTATCAGTGAATATGGAAAGGCGAGAAATGGATGCATTAGTTGTTTGCTGTAACAAGTAGCTAGATGCGGTTTTAAGCCATGGAAGCAGATGTGAATTCTGCAAGCTGGCTGTAAACTGATTGTTTGTTGCCATGTCCTGACAGCAATTTACCTTTTTATTCATCACAAGAAGGGAATTTAATTTATATTTGTTTATGCTGATCTTTTGAAATCATGCATGAATTCTGACTCTTCCATATTGATGCTTTGAAAGTCCGGACTGCATTGGTAGCATTAATTGCATTCATGCCAACAAGTCCCAATGGTGCTCTGGGGTCATTGGACTACACGAAGGAGGAAAGGCGTGCTCTTGCACTTAAATCTCGTGAAGCTGCTCCGACATTTGGGACTTCTGAGCGCCAAAAGTTGATTGATGAGGTTCAGATTGTCCTTAGTCCTTTCTAGATATTTCATCTGATATCTAATTTCCAAGCTGAAAGTCAATTTTATTGTAGATCCATGAGTACATGCTAAGCAAAGCTCCTCCAGTTCCTCAAGTTTGCACGGCTCAGGCTTCCAAAGATCAGACTTCTAAAGGAGAGGATGAAGTTGAACAGAATTCTGCTATTGCTGTTGCAGATAATACACAAGAAGTGCTTCAAGATCCAGCTTCAGATGGAAGGGTTATTGAGGAACAACATGAAGCCCCACAAAATGCAAACTCTGTACAGATGTCACAACCACACCCTGCTATGCACTCAAGTCAGCAGCAGCTCTTGCATAGACCAGAAGTGAGAGTCCCTAGACAGGCTGATGATCGTCTGTTCACGTGGGCTGCTGTAGGGCTTACTGTTGCCATTGTAGTTCTACTTTTGAAGAAGTTTATGAAAGCCCATGGACACAGTGCTTTCTTCACAGATGAATCGTAAAGCTGCACGAGTTCGGTTCCAGATGAATCATTCTGTAGCAATGGGCAACGACAGCAAACAGTTTATATCAATATATTATCCATCAAAGCAAAGATTGGTGGATATTGGGAATAACATTAATGCGTAAAATAATGATATTTGAAAGCTTTTTTTTTTTGGCTTGCTATCACTACTTGAGGTCTGTATGGCGGAGGGATCTCTCTACTTATATAAAGCAGAAGATGATGTATAGAAAGAAGTTCACTTTCCCGTGGGATTTTTAGTATTTATGCTCAAAGGAGTTTTGGATGCCTGCGTACAGTTCGCTATTTCTGGTTGTCATCACAAAACTGCTATGTATGTACTTGATAGGTGTAACGTGTATTCTAGTTTCCGTAGCACTGCTTTGCGTGACTTCTAGTTTTAACAACCAAACTGGACTTTTGAAAAACTGTGAAAAAGCCTGAATGAGAAGAATGGAAGAAAAGAAAGAAATATTTGGCAGGATGCAAAGAAAACAAAGAAAAACCTCTTCAATCTTTCTGTTCTGGAGGAGAACAGGAATCCATTCAGAGCATCTAAGATAAAATTGTTCAAATAAAAATTAAACCATATGAAGGAAAGCAAATATCAAAGCAAGTTGTTCCGTCTTAACCAGCTGCAGTGGTAGTGGACCAAAGAGGGAAGGAGGAAGAGGACCAAAGGGGAAAGAAGGTGAGGCAAAGGAGAAGGGGAAGAGAGAGATGGGCAAGCGGCGAAAATTTAAGAGAAACCTTAAACAGCTAGTATATTTAGACGTTCTGACAAAATAGGTGGATTAGAGGAATGGAGAAAGAAAAAAGAGAGTGAGAGAAATGAGAGTGGGCGCTAAATCCATAAGAAAAGAGTCCTGCGAGGATGATGAAATCACGTGAAAATGACTAAATTCTTTGGCATTTTTACTGCTTATGTAGAAAAAACTCTTTAAGATTATTTTGTTTCTGTAATCATTCCTACGATTCCAAGTTCTCACAGAAATAGCACATCCTTGAGAAATTTGCTAAGCTTACAAATTGTCGCATATACTAGAGAAACATAATATCCCTTTTTGTTTTTTTTTTTTTCGTATGAAATACCTTATTTCGACACGGTGGTAGTACCAGCGTTGAGGTAGACATGAGTTGCGACACAAAAACACTGGCCTCCCTTTTTAGGTTCGTGATGGTTTGTCTTGATTATAGGGCTGTCACGAACCCATGCAGATCAAATGTAATTGGTTTGTAATTTTCTTTGGTTGGCAATAATAATGGGGTAGCATCAAGAACATTAGGAAACACTTCCAAAAAAAAAAAAAGTTCAATATGTTCTGTATTATTCCATAATAAAGGGCAAACACTAAAGGAAATCTCTTCTTTTACAATTCATAGTTTCTAGTATACGGCAATCACTGACGAACAGATTATGCACACCCAGGCATAGAGTTCCTTCTCTTTCAAAGTAACACCAAAACAAGAAAATAAGCAGCAGTACTGTGTTTCCCTTACATTTGACGGTCCCGAACAGCGTGAATTAGTTAAAGAATCAAGAAAATGAAAATCCTACGTTTTTTCTAGACAAACAGTACATCAACTGAAATAGTTGAAAGTTACTGGATCATGGAAGCAATTGCAAGGCAATTGCTAGTCATGTTAGTCAACTTGTCTCCAAACACGGACAGTGGACAAGGTATCTTAGCTGCATTTATGGCATCCTGGCAATCTCCTACATCAGTCAGAACAGCACTAAGCATAGTGTTCATGGTGCCAACGTCACGAGCCGGCAGTGCAGTCATTGCCTTCTGGAAATTGTACAGAACATCGTCATAACTATCCCTGCAATCATTGATGATGGCAACTAGTTGATTAGGCATTCCTGGAGTCATGGCTAACTTTTTAACCATGGAGAACGCAGTGCTTGCATAACCATGGCTGGCCTTAATGGCTATTTCAAGAACAGAAAACACATCAGTTTGTCCATTTAGCGAGGGAACAATAGTGGAGAGGCAAAGAGAAGGGTAGTCGGTCGAATCGCATATCTTTTTGATGTCAGAATCAACATAGGCAGATGAAGGCAATGGTGAATCTCCGCCAAAATAGGATGGTACATATGCCTCTGTTGTTTCATCTGATTCTGATGGAGGAAGCGAGTCAGAGTCAGGCAGAGAAAAGGGCTCTGAAGATGGTTCATCTGATTCTGATGGAGGAAGCGAGTCAGAGTCAGGCAGAGAAAAGGGCTCTGAAGATGGTTCATCTGATTCTGATGGGGGAAACGAGTCAGAGTCAGGCAGAGAAAAGGCCTCTGAAGGAGGGAATGAGACATGGCCTAACCCGGGGAGTTCTTGGTCAGGACTTTCTTCCCCTTGACTAGGAAATGTCGCAGGTTCTGGAGATGAGTTTGTGTGTGCTGCAACATGTTGGACGAATTTAGCATGTTCGTAGTTGAATACCAGGATAGAGAATACGGTTATCAACAGCAGTTTCTGATGAATATGAGACTCCATTGTTTCTGGTCAACTAGATTTTGGGAAACAATCATGCAGAAAATGAAAATAAAATAGTTAGGAAGTAGGAAAAATAGGAGGCCAGTTGGGGAACAACTTACGGTTAGTTTCCATCCAACGAAGCAGTTATGACTGGATGAAGAAGAGAAGAAAACTTGCATGTTTCTCAATGTCTTGGGCTTGTTTCCCGGATTTGGCTATGATTTCAATGTAAGCCATTCATATGTTTCTGGGTTCCTACAATGAGGCTGTTCCATCTGTTATCAGTTATCACTCAACGAAGGATAGAAGTCCTAACGTTATTCCTGTTTCTTAATCTCTTGCATATGTGGCATATTTTGCCCAACCAAAAATGCAAACAGCTGTATAATATTTAATAACGGGAAACAACTGATGCCGTAAAAGGGACGTACGTACAGTCGGTGATTGCTTATTCAAAATTAACCACTAACAATTAACTAAGATATTATTAATTTTTAACTTTATCATTTCCTCCCTGATTTGCCAAGAACTCGACTTACCTTTTTTTGGTTCTTTAAGAGAAATGTATGCAAAGGCCACTGGCCATTTGGTCCGGTGGTCATCACCATAATGGTGATGCTGGAGATCAGGGGATCAATCCCTGCCTCTCATAATTTGGCCACAATATGTGGCTGGTCTTAGTTGACCATCCCCTGCCCCTTCACTTAGATTAGGTTAGAGTAGGTTATACAACATCTATCGTTAAAAAAAAAAAAAAAAAAAAAAAGAAAGAAAGAAATGTATGCAGAGAGAGAAGAGAGCACTGAATGAGCAAAAAAATAGTAGTAAATGAAACTTTGCCAGGAGCCCATCTTACTCCATATCTTAACACGGCCCTCTAGTTATGCCTCAGTCTTACATTTCTGTTGCTATATTAGTCTTGATTCTTGAGGTTGAGGGAACCTCGTTGTTTGAATTCTGTCTTTATTTGATTATTATAACCCATTTTCACAAGTCTGCAAAAGTTCGGGCACGTTGGACGGAACTAGGGGAAAAAGAATGAGTAAATATCGCAGGCAAAAGCACTATTTTTCTAATGAGTAATCGTTTGATAAAACTGAAACTTATTGTGTTTGGATTGCATTTTCCATAATTTTTCATGGAAAAATTACTGTAACGATTTGATGTATGTGAGGGAAAAAGGTAATAGAAAAATGTGATCACGGAAAATAACGTAATTTTCCGACAGAAAATTGCAATCCAAACAAGGCCTAATCTGAAATTTGAATTCATTAAATTATTGAATTGTTAAGTATTAAATCTAATATATTTGAGTGTATATCATATTTAATGATAAATAAATAGTTTATCACTTATTTTTTGGAGCAAATTTTACCTAGAAAATTTAATGTCACTTAATTAATTCAAATGTTTAATTTTTTATTATCAAACACGTGTGACCATCTTAATATTTGAATCTATTAAATTTAAGTGTTAAATGGAGTTATCACACGGGGCCTAAATCACCTAGTTAGCCATTATACTTTTGCTTTTGTACGTTTTTAATCCCTCATCTATTTTATGTAATAATCAAGCCCCTGAACAAGTCGGTATGTATGAATTTGACTCTTCTATCCAAAAAGATCGTTTGAGCTCATGACACGAGGGATAATTTTGTCCTTTCATAAAAAACAAACTAGGGAGCGGACAAAAAAAATGAAGAATAAATCGCCCAACCGAGCACCGAACACACCGGCCCAAACGAGCAATCTAAGGTGGGACCCACGAGAAACATCCATCCAGCCAATTGGTGACAGGAGGATGCTCCCATGGACCTTAAACCCAGTGTGAAGACCCCACGATCTTTCGATGTGGGATAGAAGATCTTCCATCCCCCCCGCGCCACGCACACCACTCACATGAGTTGTTTTTTTTGCCGAAGCGAAATAAACACACACACCCAAACAATGAACAGACACGCAGAGGTATCACCGAACACACCGACCCAAACGAGCAATCTAAGGTGGGACCCACGAGAAACATCCATCCAACCAATTGGTGACAGGAGGATGTTCCCATGGACCTTAAACCCAGAGTGAAGACCCCACGATCTTTCGATATGGGATAGAAGACCCAACCGACTCTCAAACTATTGAATTTATATCTTTTTAACCCCTCATCTATTTTATATAATATTTAAACTCGTGAACAAATTAGTGTGTATGAATTTGGCCCTTTCGTCTAGAAAAGCAATTTGAACTCACAAAACTGATGGACAATTTCATCCCTTTACCTCTATCATCCCTCTTTCTATTGACTCTCTCTCGTAGTCACTTCACACACTCACGTGCAAAAACACATACAATTCATGCATACCCGGTTTGGAAGATGAGTTTTTTAGGTATTTGTTTAAAACTTTACTGTAACTTATTGTAGAAGTTTTTAAAAAAAATTTTTAAAGTGTATTTTTTTTTTAAATATTTTGAAGTGTGTAGTTTAAAAACTTTGAAAATTTTTTTGAGATTATTGTAGTTAACGTTTTTAAAAAAATTGTAACAGACAAACTTAGTAAAAAACTTGGCTTCCAATCAAAGACAGGCTTTTAGCACATAAGAAAAAGAAATGAAAAGGCTAAGGGAGAAGCAATAGGAGGGCTTTTTTATGGTCAAGTGGGTTGCATTGAAAATTTTAACATTTGTACGTGAATTTATGATTTCATGATTTTTATTTATGGATTAGTCAGTTGTTTTGAGTCTTACATCTTATAAGTAGTATGTAGTGCAACGAACCTTCTACCGCACTTCTTGTGCTATTTTTTGCCCCATTTTTTATTATATTATTATCTCTCCTTCATAAATATTGTATTTAAGTTCTTTTTTGTTTTCTTAAGATCCGATAACTATTAATTGAGTATAAAAAATTAAAAAAATTAAAAAGCAATATATAATAGAAAATTAAAAAATATAGCAAAAAATTCATAAAAATCATATTTTTTATGCATTTTGATTTTTTGGATTTGCTAAATTTTGTGTATTACTCAATTAATAGTCATTGGATTTTAAGAAAATAAAATAATAAAAATATGATATTTATAAAAGAGAAATAGCAATATAATAAAATGTAAGACAGAGAATGATATAGAAAATGGGACAGAAGATCCGTTGCGAGTATGTTGGTGTATTATTTGATGATTATTATGCTTGATTTGAGGTAGTTTAAGAGAGCCAAATCTAAACCATTTTCACCACTTTTTGAATGCTAGAAACCCCATGGCTGTCGGTCAGCTTATAGAAGAAAAATGAGGAAGAAGAAAAGAGAAAAAAGAAAAGAAAAGGAAAAAGAGAAAAGAAATGAAAATTAATCAAGTTTTAGTAAATCAACTTTTTTTGGACGAAAGGGTCAAATTCATACGCACTGATTTGTTTAGGGGCTTAAATATTACATAAAATAGACGAGGGATTAAAAACGTACAAAATTAATAATTTGAGAACGGTTCGGCGATTTTTTGTCAGCCCCCTGGTTTGCTTTTTGTGAAAGGACAAAATTGTCCCCCTTGTTGAGAGATAAATGGTTTTTCCCAATGGAAGGGCCAAATTCATACACACCAACTTGTTCAGAAGTTTAATTATTACATAAAATACATAAGGGACAAAAAACGTATAAAAGCAATAGTTTGAGGGTTGGTCAGGCAATTTACTCTTTTCTAATTGAATCAGGTATCAATTCAAGTCAATTACCTAGGACAGCTACCCATAGACCTTTTCTCAATGATGCTAACCAAGGAAGGATCACCTTTTGTAGTAAAGGTATCTTTGGGAGGGGGGAAAAATGAAATGACAGATACTGCAATGAAGCTTATATCAAGTTTTATAAATTCTATCAATGCAAAGAAAGCAGGATATGATTTAAATGTCTATCAAAGAGTAAACCAGCACTTCATTGAGAATCCATCGCAACTTTAGAATACAACATAAGTTCCAAAGATTTATTACTACATCATCACCGGCTCAGACAATAACAATACCTCAAAGCTCCATAATTGATTTACATGCTTAGAATCCAGATACAACATCAGATTAAAAAAGCAGGATTATTGGTACAATGTGGATATAGACCACGAAAAGGGCCGGAGTCTACTTAAGTAGTTAACTCCCAGTTCCACAGGAAAATGTGAGGTAAGATCAATCATGTTCAACATTCTTCACAACTGTCACAGGGCAAGAAGCGTTATTTACCACGTAGTTGCTAACGCTGCCCATGATAGCCCTGCAAGAATGGAAGAAACAAAATCCCTCTTGAATCAGTGCTTTACATGGTACTCTATTGGCTGCAAAGTTTCATTTAGTTCCAATAGCCTTAGATTTGATCGAGAAATAGTTACACACAAATGAGATTTGCATCCAAAGAATCCAGCGTATGTACTTTCAAGGAATTTTACTTATAATATAAATACAGCCTCATATGGAAGATGCACACACCAGATAGATTCATAGTGCAACCAGCCAAAGATTTATAGCAAGTTTAAAATAAAAAGTTGTAACAGCTACATATCAATAACATCTCAGATTGAGAAATTTAACCAAAGAGTTAACTTTGATTTTGGAAGGAATCAATCTCTTGAGGGCTATTTACGAGAATATTGACCTTTATATCCATATTCTTTAAAAATAATAATAATAACATAGGGGCTTTTGTCTGACTTCCCAAATTAACACCAGTACGTTTGCAGTTAGATAAAACAAACTATATTTGCACAAATAACCCAACCTCTTGAGCTTGCCAAGGCCTCTGTTCCCAATAACAATGCAGTCCAGGGGTATTTTGTCAATGGATTCACATAGCTTCTCCCGAGCATCTCCCCAGTAAATTTTCAGGAGCACCACAATCTGCATCCAAGTTAAACATTTGTAAGCTTCTACCAATTAAAACAGCCACTTTCTCCATAGCTCAGGAGGTTAAATACTTAAATTCAAACAGACAATTTGACCTCCTTCTCCCTAGCAGCACAAGTAACAATCTCCAATGTTTCTGCGTCAGGGTGAACCCCATACTTCTTCATGACATGGGGGTCAGAGAATTCCACTAAAGGGATCAAGGCTAACAACATGAAAAAAGAAAGGAATCAGTGGCATAAACAATGCATCAGTGGCAGCACAATTATACGTATATAACTAAATGAAGCAGTAGTAGGGCAATAATACGTATGTAACTAAATGAAGCAAGAATGAAGACTTTCTAACTGTGATCAATATCATCTT